CTAGAATTTCTGACTTCAGGAAGAAAGCTGAGTCCCTTTTAAGGGCTCATCTGATTGGCTCAGACTCACCCTGGAGTCTCTCTTTCCTAAAGTCAATTGCGTCATATAATATAACATAAAATCTATCCTATTTGCAGCCCCAGGGATTATGTGGTGTATGTACACCAGAGGGTGAAGATCTTGGGAGACATCGTTGGATTCTGCCTATCACAAAGGCCAAATAGGACTTTTCTGGTGAAGAAGGGTGGGAGGCCATTCTTGGCCACACCACATGTTGTCTGACTGCAGGGTTCATAGTCCCTGGTGTGAGGACTGAATAGTGTGAGCTGGGTTTTCTGCCTTCAAGCTGCTGTGTGTTGGAGTATGGGCATGGCAGGACATACTTGGGAGTTTCTTGGTACTGGCCACTATTGACAAAGTGACATCTGCTCAATCCTGGGTGCACACATGTCATGCAGAAGCTCACACTTGTGGTGGGGCAGACACCTCAGTGCCAGGTGTGCACCTAGTTGTACAAGTGCCATAGCAAGCCCTCCCATAAGCCTAAACTTGGGAGGAGCCTCTGAGGATGAGATTAGGAAAGATTTAAATGCAGAGGTAACTTATTAGGGTCCCTCATGGGAATGTTCTTATTGAGTCCGTCTAGGGATATCCAAGCTAGTAACTTTAGGGCTAGACAGGGGGATTCCTAAGACTGGGGATCCTGAAATGTTGATTTAGCAATTCCTGGGGAAGGAGGTAGATCTGAGGCTGAAGTCCAGATATTGGGTATCCCCTTGCTTAAATGTACTAGACCCCAAGACCTCTAGCTTTCTGCTCCTACTCAAACTCCAGGTCTACTGAGCATACTGTAGTTTGTGATGCAGAGAGATAAGGTGCTGACTGGGGGCCGAGGCAACCCTTTGTGGGTTCCAATCAACCTAAATCATGCTTTTGGCACCAGAAGTAGACATCAGTCTCTAGTCTTGAGAGTTAGATTAATGTGGGTCAGCTCCAAAGACCCTGATCACTTCTAGCCCTAATAATATGAGTAGCATTTATTTATGGAGCAATAACTAGATGCCAGTTCCTGGACTAAATGCTTCATGAATCAGGGTTCTTAGTAGGAGGCAACAGAAACTCTCCTTGGCTATTCTGAGTAGAAAAATGAATTTATGGAAAAGAAATGGAGTAGTTCACAAAATTTCAGGAATGGCCAGAGAATCAGATGTGGGGCCAAAACCAGGCTGCAGAGGGGTCTGGGGAGGATCCCCTGCTGCTGCTGAGATGCAGACCCTGTGGCTGGCACCTAGCATGTTGTAGAGCTCTGGCCCTGGGTCCATGTCCTAGAGTGGTGGACACTGCGGCCCCAGGAACTTGATCTTACTATCACCACCACCACAGAAAAGTCTTCTTGGCCCCTTTATTTTTGGTCACTAGCTCCAGGTTCAAAGTCTGGCATGGATGCTTTCTTTGATAGAGTCTAGTCATATGCCTTAGCTGCAAAGGAGGCTGGGAATCTATTTGGCACATTTGTCTTCAACAGTGAGATATGCAGCTCAGCGGTTAGGTTGTTGGCCACAAGCACTGGGGCTGGTGGGTTCATATCCGGCCAGGGCCTGCTAAAATAAGCACAATAGTAACAAAAAAATAGCTGGGCGTTGTGGCAGGTGCCTGTAGTCCCAGCTACTGGGAGGCTGAGGCAAGAGAATCACTTAAGCCCAAGAGTCTGTATCAAAAAAAAAAAGAGATATGCACCCCTACCAAGATCTTTAGAAAGAAGAATCCCAGGAACTACAGAAAGGCGTGGAGTGGCCAGGCAGCTCACAGCTAGTCTTTGTCTCATTTGTTTCTCTTACCACCCAGTGAGGTAGGCATTGTTATCTCCACTTTATAGATGGTGGGTGTGAGGTACAGGGAGGTTAAGGAACTTGTCCAGGGTCACCCAGCTATTAAGTGGTACACCAGTCACCTTGAGTGTGACTTGGACTGTCTGACTGCAGAGCACTCTCAGCCACTGCTCTATATGATGTTGATGAAATGGAATTTCTAGGGTCACTAAACTGTGGATTTCAGACCCTGGATTGTGTGATCTAAAGAGAGGCATTGCTCAGATATGGAGGTGCTGGAGTAGACAACTGGCTGCCAAGAACTGGACCATCTTGCCACTTTCTAACTATATTAGCTCTGTCCAGCACACAGAGGCCCCGCAGGGAGGGCCAGGGGCTGGGAGTGAGCAGAGCCCTGCTCAGAGTGCCTGGCTAGGCTTTGTTGAGTATTTCCTTAGTTCCTCCTTCTGGCTTTTTCAATCTGTGGAGACAGGACAAGGCTAGCTCCATCCTTGGCTCAAGTTGGGATGGCTCAGTGCCTGTGGCTCAGCAGCTAGGGCACCAGCCACATACACTGGAGCTGGTGGGTTTGAATCCAGCCCAGGCCTGCCAAGCAACAATGACAACTACAACCAAAACATAGCTGGGCATTGTTTTGGGTACCTGTAGTCCCAGCTACTTCAGAGGCTGAGGCAAGAGAATTGCTTAAGCCCAAGAGTTGGAGGTTGCTGTGAGCT